TGGTGGGGAGTGATCTGCTTACACACAGCACTTTTTTCTAAACTCAGGACTTAGGGTGATCAAAATTGCTGTGCAGCATGCGGCAGCAGCACGGCCGTTCCAGCAGCAATCAACCACCAGCCACAAACCCAACTCAACCCAACCCACAACCAACCAACTTGACCAAGGAGTAAGACATGTGGGTGCTGGAAGCACTGGGTTCCTCGCAACTCCTGCGCAGCTTGGTAGGGTCATCACTTCAAGGCTTGCAGAGGAACTACACTCCCAAGCCGTCCCCTCCCAAAGCCCCGTTTGTGCTTCCAACCACTCCTTGCTGGAAGACCATGTCCTCTGAGTCCTGGAAGCAAGGAGCGCCACTGTCCCGCACGGAGATCGAAGCTGGGTTCCGAGTTGCATGTTTGTGTACTACGCAAACTGCCAAGATAACTGTCACTGTTCTGGGGTTCGCGCTTGACAAGTCGCGAACCAGCTACTGCAATCTTGGCTTACTGCGTGGATGGTGCATTTGCAGATCATGCTTTCTAGGTGATGATAAGGCTGTTGGAGTTGCTTCGCTTTCACCATTCGGTCTTCTGCCGCCTCCGCCAACCAGCGGCCTTCAACTGGGTCAATAATTAAAGGCACCCAAACCCCGACAAAAGGGAACACCCCGAAAAATGTAAGGGCGAAAACCTTTGTGAGGGAGCGAGTTGTCCAGGGCCCAAGAAAACTCCCACGGAGCTCCCAGCGAGAGCAGTGTTAGTTGCAACCAGTGACGGGACCGCTCTAAGCTACTGATCCTGCCAGGACTGCGCCCTGAACCCATGAACATGGAGTCTGTGTACAGGTGGTCCGCGCAAGTGCGAAAAAACTGTTGCCTTCAGAAGCTCCCACTAAACGTGCATTCAACTTGCAGCGGCAAACGTGAACAACACGGCCCCATGTGCACGGCAATTGCTTGCGCAAGCAGGCGTTTGGCAACTAGCGGCATCCCCATGTAGGACTTTCAGTTTCAGAAGCAACGCTTTCCAACATCATACATGGTGTAAACGACGACTGTGTAAGTTTGCTTCTGAATGGAAACGTGTTCGAACCATAGGCGGTCAGCCAAGTGCTGCCAACAGTCAAGTCTAGACCACTATGTACATATATATATATACATCATCAGCTCCTGGAGCACTAGAATCATCACATCTTGGCTATCCATACGCTGCGTCTTGTTTGAGACTTGTGGGCAAACTGTTCACAGAAACAAGCATTCAATGACCACATGTTTCAACAGGCAGGGAATAACTACTAGCACCAAGTTCATTGGTTTTCAAGATGGCAGGGCCTTGCTTCCTTCAACAACGCGCAATCTACAAGATACCCCTTCTTGCACGCCAAGCGTCGGATTCGGAATGCTCTCCCTGGTACTTGGCGCGCCTAAGTCTTCCCCCGAGGACATCAACAAAGCCAGCCAAAATCAGGGGTCCTCCCACTGGAGACTCCTGTGCAAAAGGGCGCTTTTCGGGTTCCGTGTTCAGCGAGAATGACGCTCTACATGGGCTGGCCTAGCAGGCCCCTCCCCTCAAAAAGATCAAAAGGAAACATATAAATGAACACGCATCACTTTGAGACACTGAGCCGGCATCTGCCGACCCCAAAACCTAAAATTCGCCTCGGCCCCAAAGGGGCCAAGGGCGCTCAGATCTCTTCTCCAAAGAGAATCTTCGCTTTTCCCCTCCCCCAACCCCCTCCCCGACCAAAATTTTGCCGGGCCGCCCCCCCCAACCCATGTCGGCTGGACCCAAAATCCTGTCCGGCGGGCCTTGAAATTTTCGGGGTTCGTCGGCGTCCAGCTCCATGGGTCCATTTTTGTCGAAAATGTGCTGACAATTGCTAAAAATGCTTTTTTGTCCTGAAAAGCATGACCTCCTGGTGGCCAGGCTTGCCTGACGTGTCTGAGACTAGGCTCAGGCCCAGCCCAAAGCCCACCAGCCTCAGGCCCAAGCTTCAGGCCTACCCCAAGTCATCCAGCAAGCCCAGCCCAGCCAGGCCGGCCCCAAGGTCAGGTTTGTCTAACGTGTCTGAGACTGGCCTCAGGCCAACGGTGTCTGAAACTGGTCTCAAGCTATGCCAGCCACCAAGCCCGTCTGACGTGGCCCAGCCCTCAGTCCGGCTGCCCAAGCAACTCAGCCCAGGCTGGCCAGACCTTGACCTCCTGCTCGCGTCTGGCCCCAAATCAGCCAGCAGGCCCCGTCTCAAAGTGTGGCGTGTCTGCGACTGGCCTCAGGCCCAGCCCAGCCAACTCGCCACCCAGCCTCAGGCCCAAGTGTGTATGAAACAGGCCTTGCCCATCCAGCAACCCGCCCAAGCACAGCTCAGCCCAGCCCGCCCAGCCCAAGTTCCAGGCACAACCAGCAGCCTGGTCCGGCTGCCCGGCAGCCAGCAACCCACCCATGGCTTCGCAGCCTTGTGTGAGACTAGCTTCAGGCCCAGCCCAAAAGCCTGCCCAGCCCAGGCCCCAGCGCATCTCAGA